ACCTCAAGAACCACGTCGTCTCCTTCGACACATTCTTCGACTCACACACCATCAAGTAGCGCACTCACTTCAGGAACCACATCGTCTCTGTCGACAGCAACCCAAAGCACCACACATTCTTGGATTCATACACCATCAAGTAGCGCACTAACCTCAAGAATCCCGTCGTCACCATCGACACATTCTTCGACTCACACACCTTCAAATAGCGCATTAACCTCAGAAACCACGTCGTCTCCTTCGTCACCTTCTTTGACACACACACCATCAAGTAGCGCACTAACCTCAGAAACCACGTCGTCACCATCGGCACATTCTTCGACTCACACACCTTAAAATAGCGCATTAACCTCAGGAACCACGTCATCTCCTTCTACTTCTACCCATAGCACCGCACATTCTTCGACTCACACACTATCAATTATCGCACTAAACTAAGAAACCACGTCGTCTCCTTCGACACATTCTTCGACTCACACACCATCAAGTAGTACACTAACCTCAGGAACCACGTCTTCTTTTTCTACATTATCCCAAAGCACCACACACAGTTGGCCTTACATACCTCCAATTAGCACTGCTACTACTTCATCTCGTTCTGTATCAACTCGCGCCTCAACTCTCGCTTCAACCTGCACTGCTTCAAGTAGCACATTAAATTTAGCAGCCACGTCGTTTTTTTTTATGGTAATCCAAGAAATCTTCCAGCGTTCAAATCATAGTTCTTCTAATAGGACTTTAACTTTGTCATTGGCTTCTTCGTTTTCCTACGCGTTGTCGCATTCTTCCTCTGACGCTCTTGCAAGGAATGCACCAAGTTGTCTTGCGGGATCATCTACCTCTCTTTCAAGCCATTCGACGACACCTTCTTCCAAGGCTTTCTCTGGAGCTGCGAAAAGTACGTCGTTCTCTTCAGCATTATCCTCATCGCCAACTACTGCTTATTGCATGTGCACTTCTAACACCGTACCAGTGTCTACCACGACACCTTATGGTACATCGTATATTAAAAATGCGTTAAAAAATGAAAAATTTTTTTATTATGTATTTAGTCACACAGGATTATGCATGGGTTTTTGTTGTCACACTTTTTCATTCGAGAACAGCACTTTTCTTTCTTATCTCTTTCCAGTCGTGAGCAATTGCGGCTAGTTGCTTTCGACAGTAGAATATTATTTGTTCGGATATTAAATCCCATGACCGACCTTCTGTTAACCATGGCATTGATCAATAATCCACCGTTTTTATTGATGAGCAAACATGATGTTGGTATTACAGCATTTATCACGCAGAATGTCCGGCTATTTATCCGTTTCGCCTTCTTCAGAGCGTGGAAGAGTCAAATTGACATGGTATCCACTCACCCAAAACTTTCATACTTTTTTGTAAATGAAGATTTTTCTTGTGCGAGAGAAAATTTATCTGTTAAGTTTTGTTTGCTGAGGTTATGAAAGTGTTTTGGTGAGTAATATTGCATGTCAATCCTTTGTCCTTTAAACCTTTCCATCCTTTGAAGAAGGCGATATCGCCGAAGCATCGGCCATTCTGTGTTAATAAATGCTACAATACTAAATTGTTCATGAAGAAAGATGGTGAATGATTATTGAGATATTAGCCGATTTTGGTATGATGCCGCTGCCGTAGATGGGGAATACTAACGCAAAATATTCACGGCCGTCGGAATCTTTCAAAAAAAAATGAAGGAGGAAAAGCATGTGTGGTCGTCGGTAACCCAACATGATGAACGTTTGGACTATATGGATGAGCAGGAAAAAAGGAGACGCTCAGGAGTCTTCCGTGGTCTGCATAAAATGAGACAAAAAAACAACCGGCTCCATTGTAACAGAACTTCAGGTGAAAAAACAGTTTGACCAGCACAGTCTACTCTTATTTGGCAGCGCTAAAGAAATTGATCAATACTTACAATGTTAACCCTTCATTTTCCGCGAACTATAATTTTTTATGACAGGCTATGATGTGAATTACAATCACAATGATGCTGAGATATTCGCTAAACTTGGACTTGGGCCAGATCGAACCACGATTTCCCTTTACGGGTGCTCGTGCATTACACACTGCCACGAAGGCCCTTACTCTTCGCTTCTCTCAGCTGGTTTTCTACCTAACGCTGCCATTAACAGTTACCCGGCAGCGGAACTGATCTGGTGAGCACAAATAGGCATCGAAGCCAGTTAAGCTGAAGCCGATGGTAACGTTTGGTAGAAAACTACCTGAGACAAGCGCAAAGCAAAGGTATCCGCTGTGCAGTGTGTAATACGCGAGCCCACTGAAAGGCAAATTGTTGTTCGATTTGATCTGAGTCCAAGTTTTGCGAACGACTTAGCATCGTTGTGTTTAATACTTCATTACTCCGATCATTCGACCTTTTTCTTCAATAAGCAGACACGAGGTTGTTATTGTAGAATTTATTAGAATACAATAGCTGACCTTTGCCGCGGTTTCGCCTTCTTCAGAGCCTGGAAAAGTCAAATTGAGATGCGATCTACTCAGCCAAACACGTTCATAACCCTAGCAGATAAAACTTAACAGATAGATTTGTATTCGCATAAGAAACAGCTTTATTTAAACACCCACCGTCTATTTGTTGTAAGTGTTTAAGTTAGTTGATGGATAGCAGCCGCACAGAGTAATACATGGGCGATAACTGTGTCTGTTTCAGGTCATTGGATTAGCCTGAGGTATGTCGCCAGGTCACTCGTTATGGCAAGACACTCCTCGCGGTTCATTTTTGAATTTTCGGAATTGATCCAAAACGCTTCAAGAGTTTTACGCGCTGATGCTTTCGATTCGTGCGTGAGGATAGCGACTCCTCCTTCATTGCCAGCAGAATATTTCCGATTTGTAAAAGAAGTCTTGTCACTAAGAAAAAAATGTCTTAGCTAGACAAGCGATACTCTTTCTCCGCAGCTGCCTGAAACACCGAGTCGTGCCGAACTTCATCAGACGAAAACGGCTACACGATGTATGCGGCCTACCGAGGGACAGCCAACTAGTACTGGACGACGAAACGCGACTATTACGCGCCTCTCTTCAATGTAAACAGGACACAATGTGCGTGCAATTGAAGTGCAAGTCGAAGGGATCTTATTGTGTTCAGTAGTTGGAGGATTCCCTTTGGGGGAGAATAGTGGGGGTCAATTTTGATTTGCGATTTTATTAGGTCAAGTGCTAAAGTAGCCTTAAGCAGATAGTTTCAAAATTTACTAGATCATTCGCAAAAATCAGCTTCAATAAAACAACGCGAAATCGTTTACGAAAGCGCTAGCACTAAAGACCTAGTGGTCGACAACGTGCCTGAAAAGTCAAGGGTCACCGTGTTAGGAGGCATAACTCTGCCTGATGACGCGCGGTCGCTATTAGAATTGGGTCCAAGTTTCTCACCAGCGCAACATATTTCTAAAGAAACCTTGCGTAGGATCGCGTGCAGCCTGCACAAGCTCCAAGATCGACTGCGAAGATCCACTAGGCGAGCATAGGATGCAGAAACACAACGTAGAAGATTTTGAAGTAGGAGCCACTATCCTCACGCACAAATCGAAAACATCAACGCGTAAAACTCTTGAAGCGCTTTGGATCGATTCCAAAAATTCAAAAATGAACCGCGAGGAGTGTCTTGCCATAACGAGTGACCTGGCGACATACCTCAGGCTAATCCAATGACCTGAAACAGACACAGTTATCGCCCATGTATTACTCTGTGCGGCTGCTATCCATCAACTAACTTAAACACTTACAACAAATAGACGGTGGGTGTTTAAATAAAGCTGTTTCTTATGCGAATACAAATCTATCTGTTAAGTTTTATCTGCTAGGGTTATGAACGTGTTTGGCTGAGTAGATCGCATCTCAATTTGACTTTTCCAGGCTCTGAAGAAGGCGAAACCGCGGCAAAGGTCAGCTATTGTATTCTAATAAATTCTACAATAACAACCTCGTGTCTGCTTATTGAAGAAAACATCGAATATATATATATATATATAGTCTAATTCACGAATTTATCAGTAATTTTGCTTGCTGTAGAGAACGTCTTTTTGATGCAAAGTAGGCAGCAAATATTTGTAAAAAAGACATGGTAAAGGCTTTAACACCTCTATTTCGGGATGCAGTGGAAACAAACTCAAGCAGCATTCACTATACCAATATGGAAAAAAGCTCAGGGATACGGTAGTTAGTAAAAAAGATGAAGGATAAAGATCTCAACGTAGATCAATCCCTGAGAGATGCGAAGTGCATTGAAGTTCATTGGGCATCATTGGAGGCGATCTAATGCATATTTTGACTTTACAATGACTCGCGTGGCCTATCAATGTATCAAGCTACTGCTGCTATCTTTCCAGACAAGTCTGGTACCAATTTGCCGATCCTGGAAGGATGGAAGGCTTGGAGGGCCATGGACGCGTGGATCGGCCCCACGTATCTGTTGCTGGGAGCCTACGAGCACTGCGCCACAAGCGCCCTATAGTCATTATAACAATGTAAATCAATATTTTCTAGACATATATAATATTATTAATAAATAATGTGCTAATAAACGTAGCAATGTGCTGTGTGCTGTGCAATATGCTAAGCCTAGTAGAACGATATTTTATACAATATAAAACGAGTGTTGTGGCTCATGCAGCACGTGAAGGGCAGCTATCTACGATGAGTGTCCAAGAATCTAAAATCACTTACATTTAATTTCTCATTAGATTTAACGATCACTTCCAGTCCCAAACAACAACTTTCGGTTGCAAAAATCGGGAATTTGCGTTGTATTTTCTTCATTGATTTTTATAATTTTGGAAGGAACACAACTGCATACGAACAGGTGAGTAACCGTCGTCGATTCTGAATAACTGAACTTTCTCTTGTTGACAGATGATAGGTTCGATACTGCATTAGCTCATTCGTTGACATTTCCAATTTAAGCCCTCGATTATTATAAACCAAATGTAGCTCATCTCGTCTGTAATAGTCTTTTGTTAAACGCTGACTTCTTCTGTACAAGCCAAGCATTTTTTGGAAGGTACGGGTTGAATAATTCATTGATCTGGCATAACAGCAAGGCGTCAACTGTAGTCGTTTCTTTCTTTTATGCAAATACGTCGCTTTCCGTTGCCTATATTTAAGAAAAATTTACCATTTGTTATTAAAGCTATAAGATTCACCATTTGTAGGAGAAGTCGCTGATTGCTAAAATCGGCAAGAAGTTCTTTGATAGGACGACGGCTGACACGTTCAGTGCAGTGTTGACGTCATACGGCTATGTTCGCTCACTTGATGAGGACAAGCGCCATCGTAGTGGATTATTTGATCCCGAATACGAAATACAACATGATTTCTCCGATTCTGAAGAAACTCTTGCAAAAATGACGATTTCTACTGATGGGAACAATCCTACGCGAACTTCTGAGTAGGTTATTATTATTCATGAATTGACTTTTTTAAACGAAAAAAGACATATTACCGTAGTTCTATCGTTCCCCCATGAAGACGTTGATCAGCATGTGACCGACGCTTTTTTTCTTCTAAAAAATTCACTAAACAAGGAAAAGCGCTGAATGATTTAATGGAGTATTACCGTTCATCAAATGAGGAAATTTTCACATCCAGAACTCGTCTTCTTTCTCTTAAGTTTCATTTACGGGCCGAAAAGGTGAAAAAATTATGGTTCCACTTGTTTTTCTACCTCTTAGAAGAGTTACTTAAAGAGTTTTCGATTGTCTAGTGGTTCCCAGGTTTATTCGACCTTGGTCTACTGACGCTATGGGCGACTTTAATCCTTCCTTTTCTTCTTCATGTGATTTCGCTCCCATTTTAATGGCTCGAGCAATTTCACGAAGCAGTTCATTGGCTAGCATTGTGTTTTATGTGTAAGAAACATATTTCCCCTTTCTTTAATTTGTTGGTTTTCTTCTCATCTTTCATTCTCTTTCTTACCTAGCTTTCCTACTTTTCGGCGTTGCACCCAGCTTCACCAACTGGGAGCCGTCCTGCGACACATTAGGATCGATCTCCGCGCCCGTGGCTTACCAAGTCTTCCATCCTTCCAGGGTCGGCAAATTAGTACCAGACTTGTCTGGAAGGATAGCAGCACTGGCTTGATATATCGGTAGGCCACCGCTAGTCATTGTAAAAGCCAGATAAGCATTCAATCACCTCCAACGATACTTAATGAAGTCCAATGCATAGCACACCCTCAGAAATTCATCAATTTCCGGAGGCTTTCATTTAGTTCCCAGGATCGACCTTCTATTAACCTCGGCATTGGAATATGAATGCGTCGTTTTCTTGTTCAGCAGTCACGAGGTTTCTGAACAACATACATTTACTTCCATAGAACAACACAATACAATACAACGCTAGCTGACGTTTCGGCAGTATCGCCTTCCTCAGAGCCTGGAAGGGTATACTGATATACAATCTACTAGGCCAAACGCTTCAATAACACTTAAAAAAAGACGAAAGACTCTTTGGTAATTACATGATCAACAGCTTCTAGAAAAACTCACTGCATTTTTTACGTGACTTCCAATGAGGAAGTTTAGAACAGCTCATTACAGTCGCATGTGGTTGACGACTGCACCATCCCACATCAAAAATCGATGCGAACATACGGGAACAGGTCGCGTATGACCTCCGGGCATTCATCACTGCTATTCATTGTAGGGTTTTTGGCATTTATCCAAAAAGCCTCAAGGAATTTTCGCGCTGGTGTTTTGGACTCCTGTGCAAAGATATTGACTTTTACTTCAAAATCGTCTCCGCTATGCTTTTGTATCCTATGCGTGCCTAGTGGGGTGCTTCGTCTTAGTTTTCGTTTGCCATCTAGGTGTTCTTTTATACGGATACACAAAGGTATGCCCATTTCACCAATATATTCATCTCCGCAATTGTTACACGAGATCAGGTATGTCGTACCTGAACTCATGCAATCACCGTCCCTGCCGTAAGGGCAAATTACGCAATTTGTTGTTTCACACAGACGGTCATACAGGTGGTTGCGAACTAATTGGCGACGTAGAGTAGTCGGTGGTATTTCAACGATCGCTACCGATTCTTCTAGACCTGCCCTTCTTAAGCATCGTTTTATAGCTACGCTTACATCATCGCTTATAAAAGGCAACATAAACGGCACTTTCTTTTGGCCAAGTGTTTTTCGTGGGCGCGTCGCTCTCCTTCTAAATTTATCGCGTGGGGTTACTATTACGTAGCTATTGGAGACGGCTATTTGCCGAGCCAAGTCGCGCGATTCCTCCTTTAGTTCCATGGTAGTACACACAGACGTGGCTGTTCGACACATGTTTCTCACAATCGCCCTCTTTGTGTGTGAAGGGTGGGAAGAAAGGAAATGAACAAGAATGCTCTCGTTACTTGGCTTTCGATACCAATTTGTCAGGTAACCGCTACTTGATAGGTTTATTTGGACTTCCAAAAACGGAAGCCAGTTTTTCCTCGGTTTCTCCTGGGTGAACTTTATGTACTCAGACTGCTCGTTCAATAATTCGAAGCATTTGTCCATCTCCTCACGCGTAGAGAAGGCGAAAAAACAATCATCTACATATCTACAGTAGAGTAGTGGCCGGAGATCGAGAACAGGCGCTTCTATCTTAGACATAAACACAATGGCCAGGCTTGGTGCCAATCGCTGTCCCATTGCCAACCCGATTATTTGCGAGAAATATTTCCCAAACCATCTGAAGATCGAGCAGTTTAGGCACTCCTTTAAGAGAACTATTAGCTGCTGGATGGACAAGCCATGCATATTTATTCTTCCTTCATGTTCAAGAGAAGATCGAGGATGGCTTGCATTGCGGAGTCATTCGACACGTTGGAGTACAGTGCGGTAGCGTCGAAAGACTCCATCACGTACGCGTTATTAGGAGACGCGTTACGTAGACGTTCTAGGAACATTTGGGTGTTTGTGAAGTGAGCTGGAATGTGGTTATCGTGCAAAGTTCGTTGTCTCAACCACTGACCATAGGTTATTTTGCTCGTGGTGGAAGTCTTTTAGATTCTCACCCTTCAGTTCAAGTAATTTCTCCTTAGCTTATTCTTAACTCGATTAATAGAAAAGAATTCCTAATAGTTCCCGGAATCGACTTTCTATTAACCTCGGAACTGGAATATGAATGTGTCGTTTTCTTGTTCAGCAATCTCGAGGTTTTTAAACAGCATACATTTACCTCCATAGAGAAACACAATACAATACAACGCTAGCTGACGTTTCGGCAGTATCGCCTTCTTCAGAGCCTGTAAGGGTATACTGATATACAATCTACTAGGTCAAACGCTTCAATAACACTTACAAAAAGACGAAAAACTCTTTGGTAATTACATGATCAACAGCTTCTAGAAAAACTCACCGCTTTTTTCCGTGACTTCCAGTGAGAAAGTTTAGAACAACTGATTATAGTCACATATGGTTGACGACTGCACCATCCCACATCAAAAACCGATGCGAACATACGGGGTTAGGTCGCGTTTGACCTCCGGGCAAGTAATTACTATAGAGTTTTTCGTCTTTTTGTAAGTGTTATTGAAGCGTTTGGCCTAGTAGATTGCATATCAGCATACCCTTCCAGGGTCTGAAGAAGGCGATACTGCCGAAACGTCAGCTAGCGTTGTATTGTATTGTGTTTTTCTATGGAAGTAAATGTATGCTGTTTAAAAACCTCGCGATTGCTGAACAAGAAAACGACGGTTTTTTTAGCTTTTTATCTCCTACTATTTCAGTGCAATCAAAAAGATGAACAGACTCGTCCACGATTCAAACTGTTTGATCTTCTTCTGTGCGAAGTGAATCATTAATTATTCTTTTAAAGAAATTCCCCATGTCCTTCAGTAAAAATCAAAACTACATAGGTGAAAAAAGTCAATAAGTTGGACAACCATTCCAAAACATTAGGAATGACAGAGTACACCAAGGCAAAGAACGGCTTTTCACAGTTCTTACAGAAGAGCAGCGAAAGACAACGAAACAAGTTATCAAAGAGATCAGATGCGAATTCATAGCCAAAAATAAAATTTTAGGGTCACGATAAATGATTTGCCTCAACTAAAACCGATGACCACAAAGAATATGAGAATCGTTGCTGTTGGACTGAATAGTGAGTGAAAATTTGGACCATAACGTTTTTAACCCGTCCTGTTACAGTGGGGCATAAACTGAAAAAGTACTTATTTTTATATTAACTTTTTATTCACTGCCTGTCAAAATTTTCACAGCTTAACTGGGTTCACTACCGATTTGCGGATTTGCGCCCCCAGATCAGTCCCACTGACAAGTGATTGCTGATGGGAAAAGATCGATAGAACTAGCCGTCAAACAGGCGAAACAAAGGACTGGCATGGTGTGGTGGTGAACGCGTTAGCCTCCAGAAAGAGTAATAACGCGTTCGCTCCCTATCGCAGAGACATCCTTTGCGGAGTTTTGAAAATAACATCATTGTGCCTTTACTCATTTGTATACAGCGGGAGGTTTCCTCATGATTGTAGGTGAATTAGGTAAATTTATTAGTCCATTATTCCAAGAGGCCCTACAAAAAATACACAATCTACTTTCTAGCAAAGCTTTCTCTTCTCTTGAAACAAATACTTCTTGTTGCACTCGAACTCTGAGTATCGTAACTGCCACGTAATATTGTAATAACTCATTATACTTCTACGTGATTTCTGTGCGGTTGATCTCTACGTGACATACTTAGTGGAAACCTCATAGGAAGCGGCTCTGAGGAAGGCGAAATCCGCCGAAACGTCAGCTTAATCGTGAACAAAGAATAATAACACCTCGCGTTTGCTCAACAAAAATACGAAGAAAATCACTGAGTATCGTATTTTTCCTTTTAGATGCCAACTTATCACCTATAGTTGGGAATGGAAAGCCGTCCAGGTTCCGTACGACTTCTCGGCTGAGCACGTCGATAAGGTCGTCCATGCGGTTCTGGCCCATCAGTAACGGTAAACGATAGCGTTAAAAAGTGAACGATTGAAAAACATACAGAATCGAGAGTATGTGGCATAACCACAGTGTCAATGAATCTCTGAAATGAAGGTCTAACATGAAGCAATCAAATCTTATTCTTTTAGTGAAGTACTCAGTGTTGTTGTACTGATCCCTCCTCTTCGGGAAAATCACAACATGCAAATAGTAATGGAGTTTTTATTAGTGGGCGGAAATTTTTCAGTTCTGAGATAGCCCGGTCAGAACTTTGCGATCGGAAAGTTGTTTATTACATGACTAGTAAATTTAAATACAAAGAGTATATAGCTAGCGATTTGGTTAGTGACAATGTCGTCTTATTTACTATCCAGTAAAATTATTGTTAAGGATGAAATACGATGATGGCTAAAAAACACCTTGTCCAGGTTTGTAAATACTAACACAGAGAAGTCTTTATAACATAGGGAAATTCGAACAGAAGGCAATTCCGGGGCTAGACAAAGCTAAAAAGCTTGAAAAAGTGCCTTCTTGGATTGCTAAGCTAGCACGAGGTTGGTTAAGATTTTATTCGGTTAACGTCTCGATATCTTTGCCTTAATCACAGCCGGTGTTTCGAATAGGTAGACCGTAGTCGCTCGTTGTCTCGATGTAGTGTCTTTGTCGTCGTGTCGAGTAAGATCTTTCTTAGTGGATCTTCTTTTTCAGAAAAAAAAGTCTTAAGAAAGTACTCAAGTACTTCAGAGCTATCTTCATAGTCCAATTTCAAAGTTATGATTATTTTTGAAGCATTCCACCTCCATTTATTTCCACTTAATTAAATATGCTTTCCTTACAATCGACACTACATGTTGGTCTAAAATAGTTTCATTATTTGTAATTTTTTTCAATCAATTTCTTTAAACCTCATATTTGCGCGGATTCTTCTTGGTTTTCGTTAAGGCCCTTGGTTTTGAGCGTAGAGAAATTTGCTATTTAAGGATTCCTTCCATCTTCTTCACGTATGTGGTGGAATGCTGCCCCAATTCACCATCACTGAAAACCACGATGCCTCTACAAGAGTCTTTCAAGGGCATCATTACTTGTAGTCACCTAAAACTGTACAGACTGGGGTTAGCTCCTGCCTACTAAATCATCTGATAAATTGCTGAATCAAGAGCGATTCTTAGGTGCCTTGGGCAAAGATCGACTAAGTGGTGTATTATGTGTACTGCACAGTATCCTTTAGCAATTGCGTTTCCCAAGACAGACTTTCTCCTAAGCGTGGCGTTGACCATTTTCCTGGATGACTAAACAAGAGGTTGTTATTGCAGTATTTATTGATACACAGTAGTTCCGGTGGTTATGCCTTCTTCAGAGCTTGGACGAGTCAAATTGACTCACTATCCTCTCAGCCAAACACTACTATAACTTCAACGGAGAAAACAATACATAAATGGCTAGTCACAAAGTGAACTGCTTCTTTTATGCACTCACCGTTTTACTGTGCTTAAGTAAATGCCTCGCTTATTATTGGAGACCAGCTGCACGGAGTTTTACATGGGTGAGAAGTTTGAGTGGCTCACATCACTGATGTGTGTTTATAAAAAGCTGTTCACTGTGTAATTAGTCGTTTATGTGCCGCTTTGTCTGCTGGGTTATCACTGTATTTAAATGAATGAATTTCTTGTAAATTTGATTCTTCTAGGCTCTGAAGAGAGCGAGACCGCCGAAAAGTTAGCTACTGTATGCTAATAAATTCTATAATACCAACCTAGTATCTGCTCATCAAGAAGAACAGTGAATCAATGCTTTTCCATACCGTTAACAAGCAAATTCCAATATTTACCGCCTCACCGTGGCTGGTTGTTCCTATGTGTCGTACTGCGATGTACAGCGGGTGGATTCGTCCACCCGGCAGGATCTCACGAGCTGAGAAAGAGTCTAGCGTTTCCATCAGGAAGCCTCCCTAAGAGCAAACCAACATCAGGATCCGTCACCATCCTGGTATCAAACTCACATGGTGACAAATCTCCCTCTAATCAACAAGGGGTGCAACTGCTTGGTGTGGTGAAGACCTCGGGTAGACTTTGGCCAAGCTGGCCGCAGGACTCCAGAAACCATAATGGCTTAACCAGCAAATCTCGGAAAAGTGGAGATTATGCTGAGGCCCGCACAACCATTGAGGATGGGCCATTCAAGTATCAAGTAACAAACAAATGACGCAATGGAATGAATTTTGGACGTGAAATCGTTTTCTCTGTCAATTTGAATCACCAGACAGAAAACATCATCAACAACAGAGACTCGTGCTTCTTTATGAATTCACCAGCAAAATATCGTACCGCATCAATGATAATACAAATAAAACTTGCAAGATCTCGCTATCACACAAAGGCATCACGTAGCGCAGAAGTGAATAATGAGGTAAGCACGGCGAAAGTGGCTGCGTTCATAACGCAAGCTTAGAATGAGGCTCTGATCACCAAGAACTTGCAGTCCAAAGGTTCGATTTCCTGAAAAAAGAATGTTTGTCATAACCGGACAAGGATGATGTAATGATTTATCGTCAAAGAATGGATTTTCAGCAGTCAGTGAGATTTCAACTGTGTCGAAATTTCCGCTTTTGGACTTCATATTCCATGTTTCTCTTGTTGGTTTTCGAAAAGTTCATTTTGTACTAAACCCGCAAAAATAGACAAAAATACTAATAATAAGGATGAAAATTATGGAATCCTCTGAAACAGCAACGACTGCTGAGAATTCGGCTTCGGAAAACTTAAAACTTCCGAAGTGTGCTTCACTCCTACATTTTATAGTAATTTATGATGGTCTAATCCAAAAATTCTGTTAATCTCTTAAACTTTTGAAAAAACTACGAATCCTGGCCAATTAATTTATCGTGAATTATTAATTAATTAAGGACTGAACCAATTCATGAACTTCACAGAAAGAAATGAATACAATCAAGGAGTTAATCAACTGACTCTTACGAACTAACTCACCAATTTGTGGTCACTGAAAAAGGCAACCTCCGCACTTTTGGAGTCCTCCGTCACGTCTAGAATGGAGATGTTTTTAAATCCACATGCGTCCATTCTCTAAAGATAAACATACACATTTGATCAATGTTATTAGAATGGATAAGAACAATAACAAAAATTATTTCTTCGTGGCTTGCCTTTCTGATGGATGGTTCATCAATACTTTCGACCGGCTCAAGAACCACGAATTTCGCCTCTAGTTTCATAATACTCTGAAAACAGGCATTTCCACCAACACGGTTTCTCAATTGACAACGCAATAATCCCACCGTAATCCTCTTGATAGCTTCATCATCGTTCGTTGCTAACACTTCGGTGCCAATAAAACAGTCAAACGACGCGTCACGTTGATTCCAGTAGTCGACGGACGATGTGAGTGATTCGTTCCAACCAAATCTGAACAGATGTTATGTCGATATAGCTGCATGAAGCTCGCATTCACTTTCAGCCCTATAGCTTAACCCCTATTACTGAAATATGCATTATTAGAGCCTTATGATATGTCACTAGTGTTCGTTCACGTTCGTCATTGTTTTGTAAATATAACGAAATTATTATTTTCTCGATTATTAAGAACTCGAAAAAGTTTAATAACCAAAGAAAGTACCGATTGTTCTTCCCGATGGTTAATGAAAGTCGATATAAAACCTACAAAGAAACTGAGAGGGAAGCTGAGCATTGGCCTGTGTTGAAGTGGGTAACAAGTGGGCTCCTGAGGGTAATCTCGGATTCGAACCTAGCTGGGGTTCAAGTTTTAGAAATATCTCAGCACCATATTGTTTGTAACTCCCACGACCGACTTTCTGTTAACCTCGACATTGATCAAGTAATTCTTCGTATTTTTGTTGAGCAAACGCAATGTGTTATTATTCTTTATTCACGAATAAACTGACGTTCCGGCGGATTTCGCCTTCCTCAGAGCATGGAAAGGTCAAGTTGATAGCAATCTACTCGGCCAGACGCCTCCATAACCAAACAAAGAAACTCTAAACCAAGATTTCAATCACATTGAACACAGCTTTGCACACTCACCGCTTTCCATGAGGTTTCCACTAAGTATGTCACGTAGAGAGCAACCGCACAGAAATCACATGGAAGCGTAATGTGCCCCTCCCATCAGAATAGCAGTCTTATATACTGCCCTATATCGCGCGTGATAATGAGGCATTCTTCCCTGCGGTTCATTTTCGGATTTCTGGAATTAATCGAGAATGCCTCGAGAGTTTTTCGCGCCTGTGTTCTTGATTCGTGTGCGAGCAACGTGACACATACTTCAAAGTTTTCCCCGTTATATCTCTTGGTCCTATGCGTGCTTAGTGGGGTATTTGGTCTATGTTTGCCGGCTAGTGTTCTTTTATACGGACACAGAGGGGTCTGCCCGTTTCGCCAATGTATTCTTCACCGCACGTCTTACAGGAAATCAGATAAACTATACCCGAGCTCATGCAATCACCGTCTCTACCACTGGGGCAAACTATGGAATCATTCGTGAATAAAAAATAATAACACATCGCGTTTGCTCAACAAAAATACGAAGAATTACGTATTGTTTGTGTTTCCCATCATGCCCTGCCATAAAAAATAATAATAGGCAGTAAATAAAAGGCTAATTTTACAACGAAACTGTTGGGAGGGACATTTCAATCATGTACATTATTGGATTCATGCAGAATATGAGTAGTGCCTAAGTGTTTCGACTATTACTGAATCTATCACTTTTATTGTAATTACCGGCAAAGAGACAGAAATAATGACCAAGGAATAAAAAAATAAACGAAAAACAATAACTTTCTGTATTAATAACCCATGACCAGCTTGGTACAGAAGGATTCATTCGCTTAAGTTTCCAAGTCTTCATCTTCCCTAGAGCTGGATTGATCCAACTCAACAGTTCATGGGTGGCTGCCCTCGCGATGTGGGTGCTCTGTATCAATATCCTCTCAGTTTCAAACTGGACCACCGACAGCGGTTCTTCACCTTAGCGGTGTTTCGATTCAATGGATTAGACTTAATGCGAACACGAACACCCACATAACGAGGACGAACGACTGCGAAGCATTGACTTGGATCAATCCGGTTCTAAATAGGAAGAAGGAGCCAAAACGTTCATCTAACAAATTTTTATAGCAATCTCATGTTACCTCAATAATTTTTGGAGACCTTGATTATTTTTGCCAATATTCGATGAATGCTCGTATATAAGATTTTAAAAAACCATGTACAATTATCACTTTTGAAAGCATTTTGGAATTTCACAGCTTATCGCATATAATCACATTGTCATATCATGTTATCGATTGATTCTCGTACTTAAAATACACCATGGTAGATAGATCGAAAATGGTAATCACTTCCACTTACCGTACTCGATGATTTCTCTCACGATTTGCCTTTGTCAGTGATGCACGGTAGTAATACTCAATAGTTTCGACGTTCCACACATTGCACATGAATTTCTGAAAAGTCGCAAGATGTTATAACTTATAGAATGCTAGATGACTCGATAACACTACAACGAATCAGTTCACTCCAATGCCAGTTTCTAGAATTTTACACAAAAGGAAGAGAAATGCAAGAGAAATGCAGATGTATACAGATGTACGAAATAAAACTGCTGAACAGAAACCTCAGCCAGTAGATGTGAATTCACGTGGAGATACGGAGATTGTTGCCTTGGCGTGAATATAAAAGTAGTACCATTCTTTTGCACGATGTCATCGTCGACTACACTTGAGAATATCTGAACATTGCTGTTTTATAGGTGGAAATGGTCCTTGGCTTCTTCATTATCTCACAATACAACCGTAGGTGATCCGCGAAGATTCAGTTAGATATAATTTCAATCTATAACGCTGTTTCACTTTTCACCGAACGAAATAGCACGTCGGATTTCGGAAGGGTGAACGGGTGGCACGACACATCCATCACTCTTTACTGTTTTCTTCAATAAGCAAACAGGTTGAAACCATAGAATTTATTAGCATACAATATCAAACGTTTCGGCGCTTTCGTCTTCACTTCCCGCCCATATATTACTCTGTGCGGCTGCTCGCCACCAACTAATTGGATTACTTGCAAAGAATAAAATAACTCAGTGGAATGAGAAACCGCCGGAGCGTCAGATTGTATGCTAATAAATTCTATAATATCAAACTCGTGTTTGCTTATCGAAGAGAAACAATGATTTATCACTCAATGCCGAGGTTAATAGAAAGTCGGTCTTGGGAAATGCTACATGAAGTGCCAGTACCATCCTTTATTTCGCACGGTTTGGCGAAGGAGTAGGTGGCTATTGAAGAGATTTGAGTAGTATTCGTGAATGGTTTTTTCCATTGCCTTTCTGGAAGCTGCAACTGCTCCGTCTGAGCGTCGGAGTGCAAGCACCTTGGTGTTTTAATTGGCGAAGTTTCCGTGGGCTTTCCGAATGCTTTTCCAGCTTTTTACCCTAACTGCTGTGCTTCTCTCTCTAAAATCTTTTTTTTGTCTGTCCGCATCGTTTTCCAAGTTCAGGCGAAAGATAGCGATTGCTTGCAGCTTTTGCGATTTCATGCTGTCGTATCAGCTCGAGTGTTTTTGGAGACAGACTTCTCCTGGAGACTTTTGAAGTTTCAGGTTTCACAGCACTAGCGTCAAGATGTTGAATGAGCCAATCTTATTCCTCGTCGATGCTATCGAGAACATTCTTCGTCATAATTTGATGTCAGCCCATAAACGACGAAAATTCTCAAAGCCGGTATTGATCCAAATCTCTTTAATAACAAACGTCCGATTTGGGTTGTTAGCTGCTCGAATGAATCGATGTTCATGGACAAACTCGTGTTGACAAGAACGCCGATGCCGTCGACTCCTCTACCACCGCACGTTCCGAGAAACACTTCTTTTCCGGTATCATAGACGGCGTTGGTTTCAACTTCTCTCGGCCGGCCTAATGACGCCGTACCTTATCCTTCTTGCTTGCATGAGCAAGTCTTTTATTGAGAACTCGGATGCAAGTGTTTGTGCATTGTAGGTATAGTTCGTCACCATAGTTCTTTGTAATCCAGGCAGCTTCCATTGGCCCAGAGATTTTAGTATTCTCTCCGTACTCGTCGTACCAAACGCTGCGAAATTGGGGGCTCTTTCGGGGTCACGGGAATGAGGCTCGTTTTTTACTGTGTTTAGCATTTTGATACCCACGTATAGCTTGCTGGGCTCTGACGGCGGGGGCTGCGTATACTCACGGATAGCTTGCCAAGCTCTCCCAGAATGGACATAAAGACATGGATGTTATTCGTTGAAGGCGACTTCTAACAGCCTTCCACATACTTTTTTGTCACTTGATTGCAGGCTTTTGGCCGAATTGGCTCGTGAAATATGATCCAGATGAAGGAGAACACATTCACACACGCATGCATGAATACGCCTGGCAAATACAGAAAGTATGTGGCAAATCGGCGCAGCAGAAATAGGGAGTCTATCCCCTAGATGCACCTGCATCTCAGAGGAGCAAAGTTCGCTTTTAATTCGCGAGTAACCCATCCCCCATCGACCACCTGGAGACACGGCAAGTAGCCTCGCGACTAACCGGCTCGAGATCCTTCATATTAAGATCGATGGGTGCAGATCATTAGCACAGAGTAATGCAAAGGAGAAGAATGTGTCTGGGTCAGGCCATAGAATCAGCCTAAGGTATGGTGCGAGGTTTCATTTAATCACGAGAAACTGGTTTTTGCAGTTCACCTTTCGATTTTTAGAGTTAATCCAAAACGGTTCAAGAGTTTTACACCCCGATGTTTTCGTTTCCTGTGTGAGGACAGTGACTTCTACTTTAAAATTTTTTCCGTTATATTTCTGTGCCCTATGCGCGCCTAGTGCTGTGATTGCTTTCAGTTTAAATTTACCGACTAGGTGTCCTTACATGTATCCGTTTCGCCACCAATGAATTATCATTCAATGCAGAGGTTAATAGAAAGTCGGTGAAGAGAATTGCTCCATGAAGGAAATAAGGAGCTGAACATTAATAGACTCAATGTTGCTGAGATATATGAAAAATGCGGACCGCAGGTGTCTGCGATGAGGAACGAACGCGTGGCATGGCATGGTGTGGTGGTGAACGCGTTACTCCCCGGAAACGACAATAGCGCGTTCGTTCACCATAGCATACACCTAAGGTCCGGAGTTTTTCAAATATCTCGGCATCATTGAAGTTATATTTTGCAATATACTTTACTACTAAAAAAGGTGGGTAGGCAGTAAATAATAAGTTAAAATTCTGATTAATGGACTCGGTTAAACCGTACCCCAACAACGAAGCTCTTCGACATATTTCCTTTCCTAAAAACATTGACTAGACCTAAAAGATGAGGTTCAATCACCTTCTAGCAAAATTCATATTTCTTTAAGTGACTAATGCATCAATCGTTTCCTATCATTCTGTGATTGAATCAGACAAGTTGAAAACTGCAACTACTTAGAATTTCTATGTAGGGCACAAATTTCCACGTAGAAGGTGGAAATGAAGAAAAGACAACTTAGGGAATCATGTCCTAGTGAGGATATATAAGCATACCTTATCCGTCCACACATATTTCTCGATGTCCAGTTTTGAGTCCCATTCTGCCTGTTCAGCTGACCAGATGTAACTGAAAGTCGTTCATGTGAGAATCTCTTTAATAACATAGTGAGCTGGACTGAAGTAGTACTAAGTTCTTGCATTATTAAACTAGGACTAGGTTGACAAGAGAATGGTATAACCATCTAGAGTTTTGACGTCTTCTTTTTTCTTAAAACTCGGAATTGTTCGCGTCGATTGGCTTCATTTATTCGTTCTCGCGATGCGGGTGCTCGTTGTCGCACAGAGTTGAATCCATTGAAGTGGAGCCCTCTAATGAAGGAACTCACTTGGTAGCGTCTTTCTATGTAGGATAGATGTTTATCTATTTCCGTTATTCCACGATCGGCAATCTGCGGACAGTGAGCAAGAATCAGTCCAGCTCTGAAGAAGACGGGAGCTGGATTCTTGTATTAACCTCGTGTTAGCTTAATATTGCAAGAAGGTAATGATTATTTATGTCGACATTTGTTGAAGTCAGTTTTTAAGATGATATAATATTTATTATAACAACTGTCGAAGGTGAATTGTGACATCGATAGAAACTTAGTTGTTTTACAACCATGTTACAAATTGACAGTCATATACTCCATTGTTCTGCATTAGTCAAGTAGACTTTCATTCATCTCTGCTATTAGTAAATTTTTTGAAGATCAACTGCGATGAGTGAAAAGAGTAGATGGTGGCCCTTTAAACATCACCGTTGGACATCTCTGTCTCGAAATCCAGTTATTAGAGCCAGCTCTACCTGAACTAGAGAGCTTGAATAGTGTCTCATGATATATAACCAGCAGACACAACGTCTTGCCGAATTTGGAGTTCAAATCTTCAAAACCCATGCAATTTTCGAGCTGCACAAGAATACATATGCAATACAAAACATGGATGAATCGGTCAGCTAATGAAATAGGTCGACGAACGATGCATGTGAGGAATACTTAGAATGAACCCCAAAGGATACACGCTTCCCCCATGACGGCCACATACAAAATAGGCAAGACGTGCTTCTAACTCACATTAATCAATTATTTAAACGTTGGTGAAGGTTTACACATCTTGGGAAGACAGGTGTAGTCATGATCTAGGTGAGCGGACGGATTTGTTGCTTGCGGCTACACTGACAGTGTCAACCACCATGGACAACGATCCCCACGCAAAGAAACGAACGGGAAGTGGGCTAGTGCTCGCACTAACAGTGACGATTTGTGTCCAAACAAAAAACTTATTTGCACCATTATAGTAAACTACTCTAGCAAGAACATAGTCGCAAGGCGTTAAATCTCATTGCGATCTTCAAGACCGCGTGACGCTTAGGAATCCCAATGTAGAGCGGTTCAGCTACTAAATGCAGCTAAAAATAACAGTGAAGAGAACCGTGCCTTGTTAGCTAAACAAATACTCATCATGTTTCTGGACAGAAAACGCAAATTTTGCGAATTTAACAACGAGGAGCACTAAGAGCTCTACGATGTGAAGCAGCTTGCTTACACTACCTGCTCATACTGCATCAGGAATAATTACGAACATCAGCGAAGGATTTTCTTGAATATGACAGAAAACCGCAAAATTTTAGAACAAGATGAAATGAAGTGTCTGGTAAGAAATATTTTGTAGACTGCAGGCACAGTTGAGCCTATTTTAAAACAGTATCAACAGCACATATGAGGCATGTGTAGTTCATATGGTTTCGGTAACCTGTTTACGAACCCTGATAGAGAACAACTATAAAGGTGCAATGTGAAAAAATCTGAACGAAAACTGTGAAAACCTAAGATAAATATGGAAGGTCATTAGATAGGTGCATGAAATGGATTCAGATATAATCCTGCTGAACGTCAAACCTGAACGAATGCAGTAAATAGCTGACGGACGTCTCCAGATGGCCTTCGGCCGGTAATTTTTTGGTTAACCAATGCACCTGACGCCAGTTGTTTGATCGCTGAAATTTAAATTCATTGTCTGCAAGGATGCTTTGCAGTTTTCTTCAACACAGAGTAATACATTGGCGATAACTCTTATAACGCCGTTATAAGAGTTATCGCCAATGTATTACTCTGTGCGACGGCTATCCATCAACTAACTTAAATACTTACAACAAATAAACGGCTCTGAAGAAGGCGAAACCGCCGAAACGTCATCTATTGTATTCTAATGAATTCTATATTAACAATCTCGTGTCTGCTTATTGAAGAAAAAACATTGAATTATCAATTAATGCCGAGGTTAACAGAAAGTCGGTCTCGGAATTGCTACATCCATCCTTTTTTAAAAATTACCTTCTCTTCGTAAACGGTCCTTCACTTTTTACCTTCGGTCCTAACTTATATCAAAGTCTTGAAATGATGTAGTTACAAAAACTAAATTCAGATCTTGCAAAAGAATTCAACATGGACCCCATCTTCCCCTACATCTTGATACCCGTTCATATTTTTGTGTGCCGAACTGCTGCAGTATAGTGGAGCAGGTGATTCATCTACCCAAGAGGTTCTCCTACACTGAAGAGGAGTTCCATACTTCACTTTTAAAACGACCAATCTAAGGCAACCAATGGCGCTGGTACCACGAACCATCGTCATTTTTGTAGTAAATTAGTCGCAGGTTGGTACGCCTCCATGGGATTCACGAAGACTGTGTACTGGAGACGGTGGCGACCTAGAGAAGCCCTAGCACAGTTTTCTCAAAACCCCTGAGAGTGAAAATTAAGTCAACCATCAAGTTGCAACTCAAATAAAGTTGTGCTGGAGCAAGCACAATTCTTCGTTCAGACGAGGACGAAGAAGTTCAGGAGCAAATATAAACAAAGATTTTAAATTAAGGAAATCTAAGGAGATTGAAGAGAAAAAGAAGAATATGAGTGCTGGTGATAAAATAGAATATAAATAAGGCATGGCTAAATTATGAGATTAATCATTAATCGTGAAGACACTAAACATTACAACCTAAAAACGAATGAATAATAAATGACAACCCTAATTTCACCTTAATGTAAGTTGAAACCTAATAACGGGGAAACCCCTTACCATTCAAGTTATGAAAGCTGATAGACGAAGGTTTGCATATATATATGCACGGAGGTGTAAAAAATATTTTAACTTTAATAAATAACAGAGATTATAACGAACGCCAACGCCACATTTCTTATGAAAAAGTAGTAGAAAGCTCCTAGCAAACTTCTACTCTATTTTCAGCATATAGTTTAAAAATTTCCAAAAATCTATCGATAAGCCTGGATCATTTCACCTTAATGTAAGTTGGAATCGAACAACTCCACTGAACGTCAAATTGCCACATTTTTCCGCAGCTGTCACGATATCGTATGGTACGAAGAAGCTGTATATCACAGTATTTGCACCTTTTAGTTACTGTGTTACATGTATGAAATTGTGGAAAAGAGATGTCTAAAACGATAGCGAAGAAACGGTCGTCGTACGACATTACCTTAATATAACGTGACGAATAACGGTAATGCGTAGGATTGGCATCAACGGATGAATGAAGAGTGGTGCTTTTTGCACAGCCTAAGGATTTCTACCTCAATAAAACAATGGAATATTATTGAAAAATAGAATCAGTAGTGAAAAGAAATTCTATTGATCAAATATTCGACTTCCATTTCCTTACAAATACTCTAATCACCGTGTTTTGATGTTAAAGTGCCATGTTAGAATAATTCACCATTGAGAAAATCACATTCATTATGGAACTAAGAGCAGCGTTCTGCGCTGAGGCTAGAGGTGTTCTGCATTACCGACACAGTTGCTGGTTCAATTCGGCACTCCAGCAAAACAAGCCTTCCCCAGTTGACTATTGGTAAATCGCCGTCAGAATTATTCAAGAAAACAAAAAAAACTGAGTTGATACATTGGCAGCCCCACGCAAGTCACTATATACGCATTCAATTTCCTCTAGAATGCTTAATAGAGTCGAAAACATGCCGCCTCCTTAAGAGAATGAACAGTGCTCAACGCGTTATTTTTTAAGGTTACGAAAGAAATGAGATACTTAGAATCTGACCGGTACTTGGTTCAGAACAGCTCTCTCGCAGATGAAGATAGCCGTCAGGTCGCAACCACCGCATCGCGTTGAAGAGAAATTCGACCACTTCACGATCCGATAGGTACATCATCAACCAGTTAGTGAATACTAGATCCACACTGTAACGTTGCCTAGTTGTGTAACATGTAACTAGGAATATTCAATAAAGGATAATGCTTCAGCAGTTTCGGCTTCTCAAGAGCAAGGAAAGGTGAAACCGACACGCAATTTACTCGGCCAAATACTTTCGTAACCTTAGCAGTAAACAACATCAAGCCTGAATTACAATTGGGAAATAACCTCGTTAAATACTCACTCCTTATTTTGCAAGCCTTCAATCAAGGGCACATATTGCGGCCGGTTGGACCCCACGTTCTGGAATTACCATGCTCTCTAATCATGCTGGGTAGGTCAGCTGATATATGAGTTGTTTGCGAGTATGAAAAACACCTAGTTCATATATATAGGCAGCCGTATGGGTTTGAAAATGAGCATTCAAACTCTTCCACGAAGTAATTCCCACGACCGACTTTCTATTAACCTCGGCATTGATCAATAGTTCTCGATATTCTTGTTGAGCACACACGAAGTGCTATTTTATCCATTATTTTCTTTCGGCAGTATCGCCTTCTTCAGAGCTTGGAAGGGTATATTGATTGGCAATTTACTACGTCAAACGGTCCAATAACACATACAGACTTACTTGATACTTGAACGGCCCGTCATCACTAGTTGTACGGCCCCAGCGTAATCACCATTTTCAGAGATTTGCTGGTTAACTCATTGTGGCTCACTGGAATCAAGAGGACAGCCTGGTCAAAGCTTGCTCCAGGTCGTCATGACGACAGGCAGTCGCAGCGCTTGTGGATCGGAGGGAGATTTACCACCATGAGACTTTAGTACCAAGACGGTGGTGGATCCCGGTAGTGGTTAACTCTTTGCTAGGCTTCCTGATGGAAACGCCGGACTCCTTCTCAGCTTGGGAGACACAGTCGTGGGGCGAATCCCCGCACTGTACATCGCAGTCCGACACAGAGGAACGCCTCCCAGCCACGATGAGGCGGTAAACTGTTGGGAGGATAACACAAACAGAAAGATGGAAATGTAAATCGCGATCACACGACCAACAGCTTCTCGAAAAAATCACCTTTTATTACGTCCTGCCTTCCACTGAGGAAGAACAGCTGATCAGAGTTGCATATGGTCGATAAATGCACCACCCCACATCGAAAGTCGATGTGTAGGTATGAGCGAGATCACGTGTGAACTCCAGGCATTCCTCCTTGCTCTCCATTCTAGGGTTCCTTCTACGAAGATTGATAAAGTGGTAGTCATGGCGCATCTGCCAGAGATTTATCAACGCCCGAATACTTCCTCCACTATCCACTACAAGACTTCCGTTTATTGGTGGAGAACAGCAGCACAGAGTCTTACATGGATGCGGATTGCGCCTCTCTCACATCAGAAATCATTTTGAGGTATGGTGCAAGGTCACGTGTGATTACAATGCATTCTTCTATGTGGTTCAATTTTACATTCTTGGGATATATACAAGATACCCAAGATACCACCGATCGCCCTCATATGAGGGATCCAGACAGCCGGTTAGTCGTGAGGCTACGTGGCGTGTCCTCAGGTAACCGATATGTGGTTAATCGCGGACCAAAAGCGACCTTTGCCTCCCTGAGACACAGATGGGTCCAGACGATGGACTGCCTGCTTCCGCTGTGCCGATTTGGCAAATACTTTCCGTATTTACGAGACGTATTCATGCATCCGTGTGTGGACGCGTTCGTGTTTATGTGGATTGTATTTCACCAGTCGATTTGGCCA